ATAGGCTGACTTGTTAGAGAATACCAGCATTACCAAGCTCTATTTGTGGGCTTTCGTGCTCAATGGCAACAGGAGACTATCATTCAGAGAGCTTGGTGTCTAACCACAAAGCATTCCTCTTATACAAATATATTTTATATTCAAAACTCATGAAGAATGGATGCCTCTAAAGTTGGAACCAGCTACTTGGTCTGTAATGCAAATGATTTGTTTTAAATTTACAGAAAAAACAGGTTTGCAGTTTGGTCAGAATAGAATTTGTGATGAGGTGTGCTCAAGCTAGGAAAACCAGGAATCATACTGGTTCGTTCAGATATTAGGTAAGGTATGAAATTGATTTTGATTGATGAGGGAATAATTCTAAAATAGACTTCATTCAGGCAAGAGGTATGCTACGTGTTTTACCCGTTGAGGGGACTTTTATTTGATTATTGAATGAGAACCCCTGAAGCCAAGTGACAGCTTTTCCCGTAGGGAATGCTGCTTGGTAATGTGCAGCACTGTTTGTTTCCACAACTGCATAGAGTTTGTGCAGAGGTCCCATCAGTGAAGATTGGCTGTGCAGGAGCCCTGGCTAGGCCTGAATCTGTCTAGCAAGGACCGGTCTCACCATAGCAGTTCAAAGGTAATTCAAAATAATGCGATAAACTGGGTTGTTTGAAGAAACAACTGGAGCTCACACATTTCCAGTTCCTTGAAAGGACATCTCTGGTAGATCTTGTTCAGGAAGGTTGCTCCATGAGGCACTGAGATGGAAGGCACACAGTAGACGGACTGAACAGGTTATCACGGAGTGGGTAATTGAGGTGCAGGGTGGATGGCTTCAACTGATTTGTGAGGCTTAATCATATGGTGAATGTGTGGGAGTAATGTTTATGAGGACAGGAAGCCAACGGCAGAGCAATTGAGTGGATATTCTGCAGCCTGCACTCAAGACTTTTCTGTTCCAGCATTTGCAAGCTTCAAAGGAGGTAAATGCAGTCCCATATAAATCATATTGTGAACACTGATTCAGATTCAGTTTTACTAAGAGTGTTAGCAAAGGGAATCTTTTATCACATCATGAACAAGACTTGAAAATTAAATTTGTTATCTTGACGCCTACTTTATTTTTAGAGAATTCAAGAGGGCTCATGACTTCTCTGGTAAGCATATTACAGCAACAGGAACATTCTGCTTGATACTGTTTGATGGTAGAGGATGACATTGTATGCTGGAACAGGTCAGTCTAAGTCTAACAGAGTTAAGTTTATTGGGGTCTATATATAATACAGCCATTTAGCCCAAAAGGTCTGTGCAAATGTTTGTGCTCAAAATGAGCCTTCTCATACCCTAATTCAACTCTTCCATCACCATATCCTTCTAATTCTTTCTCCCTCATATGTTGTCTAACTTTGCTTAAATCTTTCTTACTGGTTTCAGCTACTCTTTTCGGTTGCAGAACTTATGACTCTTTGGGTGAAGAAGTTTTCCCTGAATTCTTTTCCACATTGATTTGTAAAAAGGTGATATTTAAGCACTCCAGAGTTAGTAACAATGCTTGCACTTTCAGGAAAGGCTATGTAAACCTTATTAAAACGATTCAGAATTTTAAAGATCTCAACTTAGACATAACTTGAGCAAGGTCTTTGACAAGGTCCCACATGGGAAACTGATAAAGGCAGTAAAGGTTCATGGGATCCAGGGTAACTTGGCATGTTGGAGCTGTACAGAACCTTGGTTAGGTCATAGCCAGAGTACTGTGCACAGTTCTGGTCACTACACTATAGGAAGGATGTGACTGCACTGGAGAGAATGCAAAGGAGATTCACCAGTGTATTAATCAAAACAGCTGCAGATGCTGTAAATCAGGAACAAAAACAGAAGTTGCTGGAAAAGCTCAGCAGGTCTGGCAGCATCTGTGAAGAAAAAATCAGAGTTGATGCTTCGGGTTCAGTGACCCTTCCTCAGAACTGATGTTAGCTGGGAAAATGTCGGTTTATACGCAGAAGATAGGGAGGGGGAGGGGATAGGGAGTAAACAATAGGTGGCAATAGAGCCCAAAGAGAGAGAAGAGCAGTGGATAGAAAAAGGAGTTGATAACGATTTGGCTAGGAGGGTGAATCGCTGTTAATGGGGACTGTTAGTGACTAACAATAGGTAGTGTGTAACACCAGGCTATGTGATACCAAGACCTGGTGCGTGGGATACTAAATAAAAACCAAAAGAACTGCGGATGCTGTAAACCAGGAACAAAAACAGAAGTTGCTGAAAAAGCTCAGCATGTCTGGCAGCATCTGTGAAGAGAAAATCAGAATTAACGTTTCGGGTCTGGTGACCCTTCCTCAGCTTTCTCTTCACAGATGCTGCCAGACCTGCTGAGCTTTTCCAGCAATTTCTGTTTTTGTACCTGGTGTGTGGGGTTGGGGCTAGGACATGGGAGAGTTTAGGCCCTAAAATTATTGAACTCGATATTGAGTCTGGGGGAGCTGCAGACTTCCTAAGCGGAAAATGAAGTGTTGCTCTTCTAGCTTTGCTGGAACACTGCAGCAAGCCTGAGAGAGAGATGTTGGCCAGGGAACAGGGGGTGGTGTGTTAAAGTGGCAGGCAACTGGAAGCTCAGGGTCTTTTTTGCGAGCAGATCTTAGATGTTTTGCAAAGCGGTCACTCAGTCTACACTACATTTTTCCAGTGTAGAGGAGATCACATTGTGTGCAGCGAATGCTGTAGACTAGATCTTGGGAAGTGCAGGTGAAGTGTTGCTTCACCTGGAAGGTATGTTTGGACCCTTGGATACTGGGGAAGGAGGAGGTAAATGGGCGGGTGTTATACCTTCACCTTTCTTCATGGATGCTGCCAGACCTGCAGAGCTTTTCCAGCAACTTCTGTTTTTGTTTTTGTTTCACCAAGATATTGCCTGGGGAAAAAGCATTTCAGCTATTAAGAGAGGCTGGCTAAGCTCGGGTTGGTTTCTTCAGAGCAGAGAAGGTTCGGGGCTAACTGATACAAGGGTATAAGATAATGAGGGGCATGGACAGGGTGAACAGAATGCAGTTGTTCCCCTTAGTTGAAGGGTCAATACAAGGGGGAGGGAATTTTGATGAAAACAGTCTTCACCCAGAAGATTGAGGGTCTGGAATGGACTGCCACACAACCTTTAAAAAGTATTTGGATGAGCACTTCAAGTGTCATTGCATTCAAGGCTAGAAGCTAAGTGCAGGGAAGTGGGACTAGTGGTAACAGTATAGTTTTGGCAGTACAGACTCAATATGCTGAACAGCTACTTCTGTACTGTATGATTCTTTGATTTCCCCGCATTCTTTTACTTGAGGAGAAAGAGCCAGCTCGTTTAGTCTTTTTGTAGAGTTATAGATGGCTTAGAATCTAGCTATGTTGGCAAACCTTTCTCCGACTGATCTGCTGTACATTACCAGTATTTTCTGTTGTCTGTAGTTAAGATTTTTATTTTTGCTTAAGTCTTACTGTTACAGGAGAAGGCAGGAGAATGGGGTTTAGAAACATAATAGCCATGATCGAATGGTGGCTCAATGGGCTGAGTGGCCTAATTCTACTCCTGTATTTCATGGTCTTATAATGCAGATGATTTCAGACAGTAAAGGGCTCAGTGCATCTCCACTTACTATTCAGGCCACCCGGTGAGGAAGGAATGAAGGTACGCCTGTGACAAAACCTGCAGCCTGCTCCTGTTAGTGAGGCACTCAAACACAGTATTGTCACAATTTATGTCCATCCAACTGAAATATAGTTTTGCAGGTCCCTGACAGCCATCTGTTACCTTACATTCATAATCATAATATTGTATATTGGAGCAATGCTTCTCTGCAGGAGGACTGAAGTCAGTGTGCCTTAGTGCTCATTTGGTTCTAAAGCCTGACTTTGCAGATTGTATACAAGCCAAGTTTCCTCCTTCTATACACTGACTTAATGGGTATTGCAGAAAAGAAAATGTCACATTTCACTTTAGTTCCAACTAAATCAATATGACAAGGATGACTGCTGTGGAAATCGGTTAAATTCTGATTGGTACAGATGAAGAGAAATTGATGTCTGGGATTTCAGCATATGGGTAAGTGTTGACGGGGCAGGGGAAGCACAGGAAACTTTACTCCATTGGTGATGAGCTATGGGTGACTTAATTGAGATGGTTATGATGATTAAAGGAGTTATGACAGCTGCAGGGGTAGTGTTGAGCTGGGAGAACCGGGCTGAAAAGCATTCAAAACAAGAGAATAAATCTTCAAATTAGAACGAAGCCATTCAGAGTGAGGTCAGGAGGCACTTCTTTGCACAGATTGCAACGGAATGCTCTTCACCAAAAAGCTGTTGAAGCTGGATGTCAATTGAAAATTTCAAAACTGAGATTTATGGATGTTGTTAAACAAGGAACAAGGGATCAAGGCAGCCGTATAGAGCTTAGGCCTGGGTTAACCATGATAAGATTGAATGATGGAACAGGTCCAAGGGATAAATGGCTGACTTCTGTTCTTAGGTTCCAAAAAACACTTCCTACATTACAGGAAGAGTCTGAAGGGGCAGTGTTCAGACAGAAACGTTCTACCTCTGTATGTTTCTCTTTTCTATTTACTGCTCTTTCTGGCATTGCTCTAATGTAGGCTGGAGATCTAGCATTCCAGGGAATGAACCTGATTTTGCTTTAGATGTGCCATTCATACGGCTCACAAGCATGTGGGTGGGTTGTTTATAGATTATTTATAGTAAATGAGTGCTGTTGAAGGAAGGAAGAGTGCTATTCCGTTTATGGCATTCCATCAACGCAAATTCACCTTTGATGGAACAAGAAAATGGAAAGCATGTTCCATCAACATCATTCAGCTTGACAAGTGCAAAACAACTCTTCAAGAGAAACATGAAGACTCATTAGTCACCTTACACATGTTGCTTGCAAAGAAAAAACAGCAAAAAAATGACAATGAGAATCAGAAACATTTATTTAAACATCAGGCTCGTTCCAGTTATCAATAGATACCAGCTGGGTGCTCTTAGTGTGCATTGAAATAACCACCTGTGAAATTAACAGAGCTTCCAAATTATTGGACATTTATTTCCTGGGAGCTTCACTTATATTTACACTTCAAAGACACAGACTGAACATGCACACAAACACACTCATTCAATAATGAGATAGAAGTGAATAGTTTAAAAAATATAGTAAATAAAACCAAAATGAAAAACCATGAAGGGAATAAAGGAAAATATATATAATTCCACTGTTCTTTTATGTATGGCTTTGATTTAACCTTTGTTGGAGTGCTTTTTTAATTTTGTTTTCCCTTTCATACTAACAGTCCTTCATCTGCTTCTTCTCAGTTCATATAACTTCAGATATATTTTCCCATTGCAATACCTAGTCTCTCAATCCAATTTCCTCTTGCTCAGTCCATGTGGGATCTGACAAACTTAAGCATCCTTTCATTGACAGACTAAGAGTTAGAATGTAGCAAAAGCTCGAGTTTGTATAACTCATATATGCAAAGCTGCCCTTTCTCTCTAAATCTCTCCCTCTCCTTACGAGAGGTAGGAGAGAACAATATGAGAAAATAGACATGAGGAGAAATAAGGGTTACGTGTTGATGCAGCAGGAATGGAAATCATAAAGTAATGAAGCTGCAGTTACATGCAGGATTTGGATCAGCTGATCAGGGGAATATGGAATTCAATCCAGATAAGTGTGAGGTGATGTACGTGTGCAGGACAAACAAGTGAACACATGATGGATGGTAGGACACTGGGAAGCACCAAATATCAGAGGGATCTTAGTTACACATCCACTGGTCCCTGAAGGTAGCAGGACATGTGGATAAAGTGGTCAAGGTGGCATATGCAATACCTGCCCTTTATTAGCCAAGGCACAGAGTTTAACAGCAGGGAGGTGATTCTGGAACTGTATAAAACATTGGTTAAGACACAGTTAGAGTATTGTAATTCTGGAATCATGTTACAGGAGGGACGTGCGCGCACTGGAGGGGTACAAAAGAGATTTATCAGGCTGGTGCATGAGCTGGAGAGTTTCAGTTATGAAGAGAGGTTGTTTTCCTTGGAACAGAGGTAACTGAGACAGGACGTGATTGAGATGGATACAATTATGAGTTGCACACACAGGGTAGACAGGAAGAGGCAGGAGGTTTAGATGGAATGTGAGGAATATTTTCACCCAGGGAGTAGTGGAAATCTGGAATTCTCTGCTTCTAAGGTTCATAGAGGCGGAAACCCTCATATCATTTAAGTAGAATTTAGATGTACACTTGCTACGCTAAAGGATATGAGGTTATAGGCCAAGTGTTGAAAAATGGGATTAGAAGAGTTACATGGTTGCTTTTGACCAGCCCATACTCAACGGGCCGAGGGGCATTTTTCTGTGCTTTAGACCTCTATGACACAAGATAAAGCAACTCAGCAATGGGAGATCTTGGAAGCCATTTTTAAAAGGCATCACATGAAAGCTTTACAATTGCTGGGATGTATCACAGTGCTACCTTGAATTCAAGCTGGGACTCTCACATAGAACTGGAAGAGTCAAACAAAATGTTATCACTAACTGTACGTACATTATTTCAAATATACTACACTCGAAAGAGAGTTGCTTGATGCTGTATAGGAAAAGACAGCAACTTTGGGATGAGCTTACTATAATTAAATGAAAAACGTACCTGCAATTGCACTTGAAAACAAGCCTAAAGCGTGTGTGTCATCCACCCATTTGATATCGAATCCTTTCTTCCTACCAAAAAACAGAAGAACACATTCAGTTGCGAAGAGAATCGAGATAGATGTTAAAATCAAAAATTACAAAAATTAATGCAGATAAAAAAGGGCAGGCTTTCCAGCATCTCAGTTAGCAGAGGCAGCCTGTAGCTGAGCCAGATTGATCAAAAACTGCTGAGTTATAGGATTTGTTTGCACAAAACTACTAACCAAATAACTTAGCAGTTTAATTGGTCGTGGTGCCCTGCATTAGGAAGAGGAAATCAGCCAGGGTGTGTGTGTGCATGCATATGCTGCTAATTCTGACTGTCTAAACTCAAACGAGGCACAAACAGTTAGTCAAAGTATAGTTCGCCAATGGGGCCAGTGGAAGTGTACCCAGCAAGAAGTGAGGGATAGGCAAGAAGGTAGACAAGAGGGGTAGAAAAGTTGGGAAATAGCAAGCCAAATTGAAATTTGGACATCATGCTCCACAAAACAAGTTCCCAGAGGTAGAATCATTGGGGATGGTTTGAAACTGCCTGGGTATATGGTTACCAAAACTCTGTCTCAACAGCCAATAATGTACTTCACAGGGTGAAAAAATAAACAAAAAGTGGGAGGGAGACAATTGCAAACAAAAGAAATCACAACTAATAAGCCTTGGAGACGTGAAAAGAAGTAATTAGCAACAGAGAGATATGATACTTCACAGGCATGGCAATACAGCTGGAATTGTCAAATCTGATTATCTTCCTCCTAGCACAAATATGACAAAGTGATACACTGTGACAGCAATGAATCTGATTATTTAAGTAATGGCATAATTACAAGGCATTTAGAAATTAATTTTGCACAACTGAATGTTGAATTTGTAACCCCTAACCATTATGGTGTACAATTTTTGCAACATACAATGTAGCTTGATTAGGAAGTCAGACTTGCATTTATATAGCACCTTATCAACACTCAAAAGCACTTCACAATGAATGGCTTTTCAGCTGGCAACCATTGATGGCAGCAGCTGTCTTGTGTGTGGCAATATTCCACAAAACAGCAATGAAGTAAAGGACTATTTTTGGTTTAGTTGGTTGAGAGAAGCATGCTGGCCATGTTATCAAGAGAATTTCCTGCTTTTCTTTGAATGGGCTTTTCTAACATTGCCCTGGAAAGGAGAACAGGACCTTGGACAGGTCTCTATTAGCACAGCACTGGAGTGTCAAGCTTATATTCAATCAGGGCTGTGAATGGGAACCAGTTTATTGCATTTACTGAGGATTCTTCAGACAGGCATCTAAAGACCAAATCAACATTTTTAAGCTCCACAGCATAACCAAGCTTATGCATAAACTTGTAAAGTTGTCAACATTCCACGTAGGTCACAAAAGGTGAGTACTTATTATTGATAAGGGATGCCAACTCACCCAAAGTGTCCTTCTGCATTTAAATTTGTACTCCCCTCCATCATTTTAGCTAACAAGCTCTTGTGTGCTTTGAAAGCTTTTGCCTCCAGTATCCAACCAGGCAATCCAGGTATTAATCACAATTTGTGCTTGCTGACATTAGTATTGTTGCCTTTTCCTAGATTACCTTCGTGTCCCCTTGTAGTATATTTGTGATTTAACTCAACCACCGATTCAAAGTTAACTGTTAGCATTCCATATACATATATATATATCCCTTTAATGTTCCCTAGTACCTCCCACTTTTGAGCCTGAGTGCTTTTTTTTGCTATATTTTTCTGGCAGAGGGAACAGCCTCATTAAATTCACCCCATTGAATTCATTTGCATTTTCTTATTCATGCAAGAGGGAGAAGAGGACTCAAAAGAAGGAGATAGCAGGTTAGAAGTGATTACTTTGGTCTAGCACTGAAGTGCACATCCTCAGATTTATCCCCCGTTGTTTATCAGGCAAACCGAAATGCCTCAGCCTTAAGATCCTTAGACAGAATGTTCCAAACCCATAACTACCTCCATCTAGAAGGACAAGGGAAGCAGATACATGGGAATGACACCACCTACAAGTTCCTCTCCAAGCTAATCTTGATTTGGAAATACATTGCACTGTTGCTGGGTCAAAATCCTGGACCTACTTCTCTAACAGCATTATAGATCTACCTATAGTATATGGACTGGAGTGGTTCAAGAAGGCAGCTCACCACCACCTTCTCAAAGGTAAGTGAAGATAGGCATTAAATGTTGGCCAATCAGCAACACCTATGCTCTGAGTAAAAGCAACTCTAGTGATGAATGGTGACCACAGTGTTCCAGTCAAAACATATGACACTTTTACCAATATTTACAGTAATTACAGTAGAAAAATGAGTATGAGTTTCAAATTGCTATACCTCAGGAAAAGCAGTGAAAAGGGCAGCAAGAGACAATTCTCTTTCATACATAATGTCAAAGAAAACATTTTCCACTAAAGTGCCTTCTGGTGACAGCTTAATAAACCAATTTCTTTAATTTTATACCATTCTTTGCCCTGTACATTGGGAATGTAAAAGGTCATTCTAAACCAAGGGGAATTTGCTACCACGTAAATATCATAGAATACTTAAATGCTGGCAACAAAACAAACTATAGCTATTGTATCTCTTGGCATTAACTTAAAAGTATGAAGTTCATTTGATTCCAAGTAACTGACTATTTTTAGCCTCATATACTCAGTAATTTAAAGGCCAATTAAGCATTATGAACATTCAAGGAATACGCTTGAGAGGGGCAGATCATGAGGTTTATCTGCTCTAACATGCCTCAAAGAGGGTGCAATAATTTAGAGGTCAGAATAATGGGCTTGCAACCCAGGTATTGACAGTTGAATTCACAAATCTGATAACTTGTGGATTGATATCAAGAGAATAATCACCACAAAAATAATTGGAACATTGTAAAACTCCAATTGATTTTAGACACCCAGAAGGGAGAAGAATATGCAATCCCTAAACTGGTCCTGGCCATACCGGACTCCAATTGTGATTACACGGCTCAATTGTTGGGTCTGATCTCAACAATAAACAAAAGAATATCCACTATTGTATAATTGTGTGTACTTCTCAACAAAGTCACTGTTGAGGAGAAACTGCCAATTTATGCTGACTTTATCTATCTTCATGCTTAGAAACAATTTCATTGGGAGCTCATTTCCAGTGTTTAAACAGAAGGTGGGTCTCCTCCCCAGCATCAGGTCAAAAATCCTGGAATTCCCTTCCTAACAGCATTCTGGGTGTACTTTCCATCAAGGACTGCAGTGAAGCAAGAAGGCAGCTCACCACCACCTTCTCCAGAGCAATTAGGAATGGGCAGTAAATGTTGCCCTAGCCAGCATTCTCACATTCTCCTGAATGAATAAAAACAATTCTGTTTGAACATTTGAGTTCCTTGACCAGGCTGCAATCCATAACTTAACATTCTAATTCAGTACTATTACAACAGGGAGATAATTGCCAAATCAAAGCAGCCTTTCTACTTCTGTATTCGAAACACGGTAAAATTATATCAAAGACCCCCAAATAGTCACTCACGGGGTTCATAATCAGACTTTGAATAACCAATCCCAGATTTTGTGAATAACGAACTTTGAGAAATAGCCTTGCATCTTAAAAAAAGACAAATACAAACTAACATTTGCAGAGAGAAAATTAAACAGAACAGTAAACTGATTAACATCTGTCCTTTAAACACAGAACATTTGTGTTTAGCCCCATTCACAGAAAAGAGAGACAGACAAACAGTTAAATAAATAAAATAACAGAACTTGCCAGATTATTTAAATGTCCTTCACGATATACTGTTCATAAGTGTAAATGTGGACACCTTGGTTGTTTTTTTCTGTAATGTTGGTTAGGGTCACCTTCTAAGTTCATCGAGGCAAAGCCAGCAATACTTCTAACTCAGCCTTCCGAAGGCTGAAATATCAGATTAGGCAGGAAGCTTTCAAATCTTGATGCTGTCTGCGCAGCATTCCAGAACCATGCCACAAAACAGTACAAGAAACAACTTTATTTCTGGTTCTACCCTGTTAAGACTGATCGACTCTCCCCAAGGTCTCAGGCACCATTCGATAACTGCCAACTGCTCGAGTCTCCTTCAGATTTGCTGGAACCAAAATGCATGTACTGACCTCATTAATAGCCAAATTCTGCTTAAGCACATTGCTTTACCCAGGGAGTCAGCATCTGTTATGAGGTTCAGGCACAAAATTCTTTGAAGTTTGCATCACAGGGAGACAAGGTGATTAAGAAGGCATTTAGCACATTTGCCTTCATTGCTCAGACCTTTGAGTATAGGAGTTGGGATGTTATGTTGAGGTTGCATGGACATTGAAGAGGCCTCTTCTGGAGTACGGTGTCCAGTTCTGGTCGCTGTTATAGGAAGGATATTATTAAGTTAGAGGGAGCTCAGAAGAGATTTACCAGAGTATTGCCCGGAATGGAGAGTTTGAGTTATAAGGAGAGGCTGGAAATGCCAGGACTTGTTTCATTTGGATAAGTTCGGGAATAAGAAATGTTTGGAGGGATACAGGCCAAGCACAGGCAGGTGAGACTATTTTAGTTTGGGATTATGGTCAGCATGGACTGGTTGGACGGAAGGGTCTGTTTCTGTGCTGTATGACTCTATGTTAGAACCTTTTAATCAAGGCTCAGCTTGCAATTAACCTCCAAGGCACAACCTCACAAACATTCTGTTCTTTTCTTTTTAACCCAAGCTGTCCCAAAGTCCAGTTATTTTCAGCTCAAAATTAATAAAAGAATCAAATAAAGATAGCAAAAAACAAAACAGGGCTCTAACTGTGGTCAGGTAGTCTGATTTGCTGCACTGAACTCTGAATGAGGTGTTAAAACCATGGGACTCTCTCTGTGTGATCCTGCTTCCAGGTGACCTTAAAGATCTCAAGTCATGATTCAAAGAGATGCATAGAATGACCATCCAGGCATTAGTCCTTTATCCAATACCACCCCTGAAACAAAAATTGTTCAAGGATTCCAACAACAGCAACAGTTCTGAAAAGAGTCCCGACCCAAAACGTCAGCTTT